GTAACTACTACATGTAACTACTGGATGGGAGTGAGTGATGTCGAGTTGGCTACACTCACCTAGGTTTTGTGGCTCCCAGTGTTTTGTTTTCTGTGGGAAATGGGCCCAAGTGGCTCTTTGAGTGTTTAAGGTTGCAGACCCCTGACTTAGACCCTTGCAATTGATAAGTGAATAGTGAAGCTGGATCAGTTCAGGTACTTTTCATAGTATCTCTAGGAAGCTCTCAAGTATGACACAAACACAGTAGCTCCCCTTTTCCCAATCCTTCTTTTGGATTGATAAAATCATGATGTCTGATACGAGATGTAATGTTGCATACTTAGCACTCATTCATGAAACCATTGTACAATGTGTGGGATGTGCTGGATGAAGATGCAATTCTTTTTGTTTCTATAGAATATTTATTTATTTATTTGATTTGATTTTTCAATCGCTTACAAGATAATAGGTATAAGTATAAACATGAGTAAGAATACAGGAAATAGGTACAAATAAATGGGGACAATAGGACAGGGATGGGAGGCACGATGGTGCACTTATGCACACCCCTTACAGACCTCTTAGGAGTGGGATGAGGTCAATTGTGGATAGTTTGATGTTAAAGGAATGGGGGTTTGAGGATGTAAACAAGAGTCGGGTAGTGCATTCCAGGCATTGACCACTCTGTTGCTGAAATTGTACTTTCTGCAATCAAGTTTTGAGCGGTTAACATTGAGTTTGTATCTGTTGTGTGCTCTTGTATTGTTGCAGTTGAAGCTGAAGTAGTCATTGACTGGTAGGACATTGTAGCAGATAATTTTGTGTACTACACTTAAGTCCAACCGTAGGCGGTGTAGTTCAAGATTGTCCAAGCCCAAAATTTCAAGCCTGGTGATATAGGGTATTCTGTTGCAAACAGAGGAGTATTCTTCTCGTGAAATACTTCTGGACTCACTCAATTGTATTAATGTCCAATATACAGTGTAGATTCCAGACAGATGAGCTGTATTCGAGTATTGATCTAGCAAAGGTTTTGTATGCCCTAGTTAGCAATTCAATATTTCCAGAAGAGAAGCTTCGTAAGATTAGATTTACAACTCCTAATGCCTTTTTAGCAATGTTGTTACAGTGAGCTCTAACACTTAGTTCATTAGATATGAGTACTCCGAGGTCCTTGACAGAGTGAGGGTCATCAACGAGTTCATATCCGCCTAGCTTGTATTTGGTGTACTGATTTTTTTTACCAATGTGTAGGACAGAGCATTTGTTGGTCGAGATTTGGAGTTGCCAAATGTTTGACCATTCAGACACATAATCAAGGTCACTTTGAAGAACAGTAGCATTGTCGGTGGTGTTGAATAGTTTTACATCATCCGCGAAGAGGATGCAGTTGTTTATAAGGTGATCGCAAAGGTCATTTATATAGAGTATAAAGAGTGTGGGTCCTAGAACGCTGCCTTGCGGGACACCACTGTTAATTGGAGCAGGATTTGATATAGCGCTCCCTATTTTTACTATTTGTTGCCTGTTTGACCGGAATGAAGTAATCCACTTATGAAGAGATCCAGAAATGCCGTAAGAGTTTAGTTTTAACAGTAGTTTGTCATGTACCACTGAATCAAAGGCTTTGCAGAAGTCTATGTAAATTGCGTCTATTGCTTCACCCTGGTCGAGTAGAGTAGTCCATATGTTTTTGCCGTGTTGGAGTTGTAGGTTGCAGGACAATTTTTTCCTTAAACCAAATTGTTTTTTGGAGAGTAGGTTGTTTGACTCTAAGTGGAGTGTGATGAATTGGTTAATGATTGATTCCATGACTTTGCATGTGACACAACACAGTGAGATTGGTCTGTAGTTTTCAACCAGGCTGGGGTCATCTTTTTTGAAGATAGGGATGACCGTAGCTAAGGTTCAGTAAGAAGTTGGTTTTGAATGATATATCATATATAATGCTTAGGGGTTCTGCTATGGCAGAGGAGAGCTTTTGTAAAAAGTATGCACATAATCCATCGGGGCCAATAGATAGGGATGGTTTTAGGTTTCATAGTGCCTTTTCTACATTATCTTCTGTAAAGTCAATATCAATATCATTGCAGTTAGTTGTGGTACAACTAGGAAATGTGGGGCATGAGCCATTGCTGTTTACAAAGACTGAACTGAAGAATGTGTTGAAGAGGTTGGCCTTAACAGTTTCATAATTGGCTTTTTTGAAATTGTATTTTGGAGATCCATCATTATGATCTTCTTTGTGAGGGTGTAAATTGAGACAAAAGTCAATCATACTGTGGTCACTGTTTGAAAAGGGTTCTTGTATTTGTAGGCCATAAATTGAGTTTGCGCTGTTGGAGAAGATGAGGTCCAGGCAGTTGTTGAGTCTAGTGTTGTTAGTTACTAATTGATCCAGTCCTAGTATGGTAACAGCATTGTACAGGGTTGCATGTATGGGTTTGGATGTACATTCATTTAGGGTCCAGTCTATAAGAGGTAGATTGAGGATTGACCAAGGAAAATAAGAGGGTGTGAACAAGAGACAGCCCACGTCAGCAGTGAAGTTAGTTTGTTTGCATGAACTATGTCATAATCAGGGGCTCTGTAGCATAGTAAGAAGCGGATAGTGGTATTTAAGGACAGTTCACAATCTTATGCTATATAAAATCTTATACTATTCAGCTTCACTGAATAATCTGAGGATATTATGTTATCCTGAGAGAAATGGAGAAAAGCATCTTTTTAATCAATGTTTACTATATATACAGTCACAATTTGATATATCACTATCATGACCCTTTTATTTGCCTATTTTTTAGCAATTCCCTCTTCTTTATACACCAAGATTTGTTTCAAACCCAGTCTTGGTATTGGTTGGTTGTTTAATTTACCATCTATAACAGCACTAAAATATTCTTTTGCAACTGTATTGATTAGAATTTTCCAGTGGACTGTCCTTTATTTCAGAAAGCTATCCTTTATTTAATTTATTTATGTTCTTGATGTTGCTCTTGAACTTTCTTTTATAAAGCAAAGTTATAAAAATAACTATATTTTTAATTCTTAGGAACCCTTTTTAGGTTTATCTTTTATTTTTTCAAGAAAATATGGTCACTGTAATTACCTCAGAGCTGAAGTACCTCAGCAGAGAGGCTGGTTAACCCTAAGGATATCTTTTTATTTATTTATCAAATTTATATTCTGCCCATCTCACTGTCCCAAGTTACTCTGGGTGGCTTACAAGATGGGTCCCCAACCTGTGGGCTGAGGCCCACTATGGGGCCATGGCCTATTTTCAACTGGGCTGCGTGAGACGTGGGCACCAGCACTCACAGCCCTACTTGCATGAGCAGCTGGCACACATGCCCACCACTCACACAAACAAAGCTGTGTGCACGTGCATGCCTATCTCTCAAACAAAACCATCCCCTCTTCCCTTCCTCCCTCCCTATGTCAGACCGCCAACTTGGAAAGGTTGGGGAATGCTGGCTTACAATATAGAAGCATCAAAACACTATAAACATTAAAATTAAGATAACAAACAAAAAGTTAAATGCAAGAGCAGAAACCACAGTAAAGAAGGCTCTTCTCCTTGATCCTGCTAGCTGTAATTCCTTGGCTAATGGGTGAAGAAGGCCTCTTCTGCCGATGCAATGGCCAATCCCATTGGGGTGAGATGGTTCCTTAGTTTCCTTTCTCTACTCATTAAACTGCAAAGGAATCAAAACCAACTTTTGAATAAATCTGTCAAAATTGTATAAATAATAACTTTTTGGTGGTGCCTAAAATAGAGATTAATTCTGAATTTCCTTATTCCAAAGAATAATGAAGTTCAATGATGTGTAGAAAATTAAATCAATCATTCTCAAAAGGTAAACGTGCATGAAAGAATGTGTCTTCCAAAAAAATTGTTTAGTAGGGAGCTTAAAATAATGTGAATGAGTTAAATTCAGGTTAATTGTATTTATTTTGTCACAACTATCTAAAGATTTGAGAATATAAGATCTTATTCCATTTGTAGCAAAACCAAAGATAAATTCAAATATATCAATTGAGAAAGCATTCTAGCAATTGTTGCACCAAGATAAAGAATCAGAGCAGAGACTAAAGCCAAACAAAACATAACATAATTATTACTAAGGACCAATTGTATTCAATTTTATTTTCTTTACTTATTAGCAGACAAGATATTAAAATATACTGCTCAAGATTAGAGATAGAAGTTTCCAGACTGTCAATGAAACATAAACTGTCATTTACTTGTCTTACATGTTTGTCTCACAGTGTAAAATACCTTTAATATATTTAGAATAGAACAGAACCAGAATAAAAAGAAAAGAATTTATCTTTGACTTTTACTGCACCATACATTTAAAAAAGTAAAAGCACACTACTGGTAACCACAAATATCTGGAGCCATATAAACCACATCTATCCAAATCTATTATAAATAAAAAAAGTTTCAGAAACTCAAAAAAAATTTTTTTTACTGATTATTCCCAACATGGAACTTTTTTCTTTTCTTTTTGCAGCAGTCTTATACTTCAAGCTCTTTATTACCCTAATCAGATGGCCCCAACAAACCTTCACCTAACTGCTTCTGATTACTAATGGGAATCATGTGTGATGAGGAAATATAGATTGTGATCTGAGTAATCCTTAGAGTAGTGATAATTAATAGAGGAGGAGCTTGGAGTTTGCAAAGTCAGAACGGGTACAGCAGATCCATATTCATGGATGCCATGGCAGTAATCTGAAAAATAGATAACAAATGAAATACAATCATGCAAGGAACATGTAGATCTGTCTGCTTTTTGATTGCTTGCTTTCATAAAATATGTAGAAATCTGCAGTGCAGTCTCCTTTTATGAATAGCACCAATTCTTCTAGACTAGGTCAGAGAATGTTCTTTTCAGGCAAAATATCTACTTATCTTGACATCTACTTTGTTCTTTGCATTTAAGGCCAGAAATATTTAAAGCAAACATGTTGCCTTGTATAACATTATAATGAGAACTATACCTCTTTTTTTACAGGTATGGTTTAAAAACCGCAGAGCCAAATGGAGGAAGCGGGAAAGAAATCAACAGGCAGAACTTTGTAAGAATAGTTTTGGAGCTCAGTTCAATGGACTGATTCAACCTTATGATGAGATGTATAGTAGTTATTCCTATAATAACTGGGCTACCAAAGGACTTACTGCCAGCACTCTATCAACAAAAAGCTTCCCATTCTTCAACTCCATGAATGTCAATGCTCTTTCTTCCCAGCCCATGTTTTCAACATCCAGTTCAATAGGATCTATGTCTGTACCCTCCTCAATGGTTCCTTCAACAGTGACTGGTGTGCCGGGCCCAAACCTTAACAATCTTAACAGCCCTGGTCTTAACTCTGCAGTTCCATCCAGTACCTGTCCCTATGCATCCACAGCCAATCCTTACATGTATAGGGATACTTGTAACTCAAGCCTGGCTAGCTTGCGATTGAAGGCAAAACAGCATGCAAATTTCACCTATCCAGGAGTGCAGACGGCAGCCTCCAGCCTGAGCCCATGTCAGTATGGTGTGGATAGGTCAGTATGAGAACCTCCACTGCTAATTATGAACTATTAGCAGAACAAAGTTTCCCCTGCAGATGAATTCCAGAAAGATGTATTTATAATACTGTTACAAATCTTTTACTATCATTTTTGTAAAGTATATATTTTTACTCACTGAACGTTCATTTGAGGCAGAGGAACTTTTTGCCAAGGTTTGAATTCTTACCCGGTGATAACAGCATACCCAGGGAAATCATTGACGCTGCTCATAATTTATTACTGCAATTTATGCTTTATACATATGACTCCTGCTTACATAAGTCTAGATTCTGTACTTGAAATACCAGGTTTGGATTTTCTGTATGTATATTTCATAAAAGTTTGTCATGAAATGCCCTGGGTAAAACTTTTGTTTTCCTTTAAAAAAATAGTGTATCATAACAAAAAGTTGCCAAAAGTAATTTCATAGCATGGGAAGGAAATTTATGTGCAGACATGCCATGAGTTATATGGAAGATCTAGGACAAAGAAACATATAGATGTGCTCCTAGGTATCTCTGGGTATCATGACTGAAATAAAAGCTGTCAATTTGTTATCAAAAGAGCACTGCTATTTGGAGAAAATAGACAAGTAATCAGACTTGAAACAAAACCACTTCATGATATAATAGTTCTACAGGATACTTATTTAAATGTATTAAACCAAAAGGTATGTCAACTATATTTAATTTCCCCATGCAATTTCATTGTCTACCAAGCAGTTATGTTGCAGTGGTTAGAATGCAATATTACAAGCTGCACACTGCCAGGAGTTCGATTCTGACTGGCTCATGGTTGATTCAGTCTTCCATTCTTCCAAGGTCAGTAAAACTGACTACTTAGAAAATGTTGTTGAAGTATAAGACTAAGTACCATTGCTATTATAAACACACACAGTCTGCAATGACTTAAGTTCCCAAAGATAAACAAGAAAAATGCCCCGAGCATCTCATGCACATGTGATTATTGCATAAGCAACAAGCACTATTTGTATGCAACAATTCCTAACTTCTAGAAAAATTAGGTCTGCAACTGAATAGATGTAATCCATTGAATTACACAAATGGATTCTCTGATCGACTACATCCAGGCAACATCTTCCAATTATTAGTTTCCAGGATGATCCATTTTTTCATTGTTTTTTTCATTGAGCTTACAAAAGTAGTACATGTGCCTCTGAATCATACTAATGTTTCTGCAATAATCTGTCACAAGCCAGCAAGTATAGAAGGAACTTTAAGAACATCACTTTATCACTTCCCAAATTTGTCCACCAGAATTCCTGAACATTTTAGAGCTCAGAAATGTACAAATCAAAATCCATAGATGCTAACCATGACCAACAAAACCACAGCCTACTGTAGTATGAATGTATAGTGGGAAGAGGTGAAGAAAGTCATGCTCATCTACTGTAGTTTCTTTTTACTTGACCTTATTGTAACTTATTTTAAGTGACAAAGTGTGTGGGTATTATCGAAGTAATTTTTCATGCTTAGGTTGGGTTTTTTGCTACTCTAACATCCCGTTAAACTACTCAAAATGGGTGATCCTAAAAGACTGTAATTTATAAATTATAATTTGTCTTTAAAAATTATGTTTTCATGCTAATAAATTGAGTGCTAGTAGCAGGGCAGACTACATTTTAAAATTTGCCTCAATAGTTTTCTTTAAAAAGTATACATGCTTTAAAAATATCTGTTTCTTTTTATCTGTTGGATTGTGTATGATTCTGTGTGTATATTTCTGTGTGTGCTTGTGTCTGTGTATAAACATATGCACAATGGGCAGAGGTCATTTGACATATTTTAAAATAAAGATAAATTTAAATTGCTGTCTGATTGGGATTTCTTCACCCTTACAAATTAAAAGGTTCTTCAGAGATGGAAATCATAAAAAGAAAAACTACAATTAATGCTCATTTTAAAACTCCCAAGAATCTTCTACCCCACAAAAAAGTCCTTGTGGTGTGTTGAGAGTATTTGGGATAGGACCAGGCTCAAATGACTGTGGGACAGTGCTGTCTCTTTGCCCAATCTTCATCAGATTGTTTTGGGACAAAGTATCAATAAAATATCAAGGAAGATTTTTCCAGGAAAGGAGCAATTCCCCTTTTATAATCACCTTTTCGCTTATGAAAAGATACATTGTTTTTATACTTACCCCCTTTTCTGAGCCTAGAGATTAGTGAAACAAATATATTTGCTGATGGTATTATCCAGTCATTCACAATCTTGATATTTACTTATATAATAGCTGCCCAATCACAGACCTGTATAGCTACCCATCTCAGAGATTTTAATGAAATTATTTGGACTGTATTACAGGTGAAACTCGAAAAATTAGAATATCGTGCAAAAGTTCATTTATTTCAGTAATGCAACTTAAAAGGTGAACCTAATATGTGAGATAGACTCGTTACATGCAAAGCAAGATAGTTCAAGCCGTGATGTATCATAATTGAGATGATTATAGCTTACAGCTCATAAAAACCCCAAATCCACAATCTCAGAAAATTAGAATATTGTGAAAAAGTTCAATATTCTAGGCTCAAAGTGTCCCACTCTAATCAGCTAATGAAGCCATAACACCTGCAAAGGGTTCCTGAGCCTTTAAATGGTCTCTCAGCCTCGTTCAGTAGGAATCACAATCATGGGAAAGACTGCTGACCTGACAGTTGTGCAGAAAACCATCACTGACACCCTCCATAAGGAGGGAAAGCCTCAAAAGGTAATTGCAAAAGAAGTTGGATGTCCCCAAAGTGTACATGAATAGAAAGTTATGTGGAAGGAAAAAGTGTGGAAGAAAAAGGTGCACAAGCAGCAGGGATGACCACAGCCTGAAGAGGATGGTCAGGAAAAGGCCATTCAAAAGTGTTGGGGACTTTCACAAGGAGTGGACTGAGGCTGGAGTCAGTGCATAAAGTGCCACCACACACAGACGGATCCTGGACATGGGCTTCAAATGTCATATTCCTGTTGTCAAGCTGCTCCTGAAAAACAAACGTCAGAAGCATCTTACCTGGGCTAAAGAAAAACAGAACTGATCTGTTGCTCAGTGGTCCAAAGTCCTCTTTTCTGATGAGACAACTTTTGAATCTCATTTGGAAACCAAGGACCCAGAGTCTGGAGGAAGAATGGAGAGGCACACACTGCAAGATACTTGAAGTCCAGTGTGAAGTTTCCACAGTCTGTGTTGATTTGGGGAGCCATGTCATCTGCTGGTGTTGGTCCACTGTGCTTCATTAAGTCCAGGGTCAACGCAGCCATCTACCAGGAGATTTTGGAGCACTTCATGCTTCCTTCCGCAGACAAGCTTTATGGGGATGCTGACTTCATTTTCCAGCAGGACTTGGCACCTGCCCACACTGCCAAAAGCACCAAAACCTGGTTCAATGACCGTGGGATTACTGTGCTTGACTGGCCAGCAAACTGCCTGCCCGCCCAATTGAGAATCTATGGGACATTGCCAAGAGAAAGATGAGACATGAGACCAAACAATGCAGAAGAGCTGAAGGCCGCTGTTGAAGCATCCTGGTCTTCCATAACACCTCAGCAGTGCCACAGGCTGATAGCTTCCATGCCACGCCGCATTGGAGCAGTCATTGCTGCAAAAGGGGCCCAAACCAAGTATTGAGTACATATGCATGCTTATACTTTTCAGAGGTCCGATGCTGTTCTATGTACAATCCTTGTTTTATTGATTGCATGTAATATTCTAATTTTCTGAGATTGTGGATTTGGGGTTTTCATGAGCTGTAAGCCATAATCATCACAATTATGACAAATCACAGCTTGAACTATCTTGCTTTGCATGTAATGAGTCTATCTCATATATTAGGTTCACCTTTTAAGTTGCATTACTGAAATAAATGAACTTTTGCACGATATTCTAATTTTTTGAGTTTCACCTGTATGTTTCACACCCCTATAGAGTTATTATTGGAGTACTAATTATTTTGCCTTTTCTGTGCAAAAATGCTTTGGTCTGCTTGTGAATTGGTTCAAACTGATTTTTTTTAAAAATTACTTTCTCTTCATTTTTCAGTAAACCAAGGAAATGGTTAGAGACAACAGAGACTGGCATCTGATTCATTTCCAGATACAGAGAGCTGGAAAACTCCTCAAGTACTTTCTATAAAGCTGTAGGATCCATTAGTTATCAGAGGCAGACCATGCAAACTGGTCCCACAACCCCCAGAGGTCAATGGTAGTTTTCCAGATAATGGGTATTGGTCCCCAACTTGTACAGCAAACTACAGTACGGAAGGAGGTGCTGAAGAGATAGGAAGCATCAGAAGCATACAGTAATCAACAGAAAGCTTAGCAGACACTTGATTTGTGCCTATGCTGTAAGATTTAAAAAAACCTGAGTTTTGAACAAAATAACTTCAGTAGAAGAGCGGGAAGCAACAGCAGATAGCAGGAAGCCTGCCTCTTGGGAATCTTGGTACTCTTGAGAAGGATGAATAGCTTGGGAAGCATATCTTAAAGGCTTTATGTCCTGATTTCCCCTTTCTAGGAAGCATCAAGTCCAAAGACCAGATTATACCAGATTGGGGTATATATCAGTGGCAACCTGGCACCAACAACTTTGGAAAAATCTGTGTACAGAATTCAGTGCCACTTGACCCAATCTGGTTTGCTTTTCTTTTTGGTCTGGTTGAAATCAGGTTGGCAAACTTCTTGAAACTTCCTTGGTGCCAATAAAGTTGTTGCAACAATAGTTTGGGCCCTGCCCTACTTAGGTCATGCCTATGAGTATATGCATTTTTCTGCAAATATGCCCATTGTTCAATGCACTGTTTTAGTAAGATATTCATATGAATGCATACACCAAATAAAAGCAGCCCAGTCCAGATAAACCACATCAAATTTGTATGCTTCTTGAGATTATATCTAAGCCAGTTTCTCTTTCTGCATTGTGCTTTAATGTTGCATAGGCATCTGTGACAATTACTCAAGTAGAAGACATCCCAATAGATGATTCTATGAGTGATAATGTGTTTGTTAGAATTGTTATTCCTTCCCAAGTTTGTTTCTCAAAGAAACAGGTTCTGGCTTTCAAGGTACAGTTCTTTATTTACCCAAGAGAATGACAGCAAGCTGTTAAGCCACACCAATTACTCCTGTGACAGCATTCAAATCAGTCCCTTCTATACAACATGGCTCACAATTCCTGCTCACCCATTTCCCACCTGTTTTCCATATATGTGACGGCCTTCCTTGCTGTGGCTTCCAATCCTTAAGCAAACAGTACTTTTAATCCAGAGGTACCCAACCCCCAAGCCTTGGCCCACTACCAGGCTGCAGCCTGTTTGAAACCGAGCCATGCAAGCGATGGGCATGTGCGCTTCCACGTGACTGTCCCCTTGTGTGAGAAGTTCACTCCTTGTATGCTCAGACGTGAAGCTCTCCTTGCATGAATGTAGGGCACACCCGCCCGCCACTCACACCAATGGATCTGTGCATGTGCCTGCCACTCATCCTCCTCCCCCACTGGGCCAAGCTGGAAAGATTGGGGACTGCTGCTTCAGTCTAAGGCATGAGTGTCCAATCGTTTGGCTTGCCTGGGCTGCACTGAGTGAAGGGGAATTGTCTTTGGCCACCTATAAACTGTTAAAAGTTTACAATATTTTAGGCCCATATTATTAGCTGTCCAGGGCCACTTATGGCCTATGAGCCATGGATTGGACACACCTGATCTAAGGATAAGTTATTCTTGGAATGCATATTATCCAATTTCTATTCTACATCTAATTTTAAAGCCTTAATAAAAATATAAACACTAACACTAAATATTACATTCTGTAAACTTTTCTAACATTCTTTTATTTAAATAATGAAACAATCAGTCTAGAACTTGACAGGTAGAGAAGTGGTATTACTGAGTTGCCTTCCTCACAATGTGAAAGGCAACCAAATTGGCAGTACTGCCAGCTTATCTATGATGGGACCCACCGTCAAGATTCCTTAGATATCCCTGAGATACATTTCACATGTATCTAGCATACTTGCTTCGCATCTGAAGATCTTATACACTGATTAGCTTAGCTTCTTGCTGGATACCAAGATATTTCCAAGCTGGCTATCTTTGGTGCACACTGTGGAGAATTCTGCAGTGTTCACCATAGCTGGAAAACCTGAAAGACTTTCCTTATCTTTCAAGGAGATTCCAGGCTGGGTAGATTCAGCAAGTGCCACACAATGTGAGGACTGCGCTTGATGTAATAGTGAAAAACAAACCACACTGATTTCCTTGGATGCTGAGAAAGCTTTTGACAATTTGAACCAGCAATTTCTGTTTAAAGTATCTGATCAGAATTTTATTCAAGTTATCCTGTCAATACATAGATCTCAAAAGGCCCAAATTATGGTTAATGGTGATGTGACTAAATCATGTTATATCCAGAAGGAGAATAAAACAAGTTTATCCTCTATGTTGTTTATTTTGGTTCTTGAAGTTCTGAATAGACAGATCTGAGAATAGACCGTGAGTAAAGTATAACTTTTATATTGCATTGTTGCTAGAAGCAACATGAACACCAGGATTTATCTTTTACAGGGAGAGAAAATGGTTCTCCAGCTTCATTTACAAAATCCTAATCTCTTAAAATGCAAATATAATCCTAGATTAATATAATCAGTGATGAACTGATATGGGAGTGTAATACTCCCATTTCCGTATGTAACATTCTGAAGTGTTACCAATATGGAATAGAAAAAAAATCATTTTTATTCCCTGGCGAGCATACATATGTTCCAGTTATCTTTAACTGGATATGGTGCATATCAACAATTTCTGAGCCAAATTGCCTCAAATGGGCTAACAGAATGTGGCCAAAATCCATGCCCATGGAATTGAAATTTGACAATTTTATAAAATACTAAACAACCCATGACCCCCTTGGCTCATTGTTTCAGGCAAATATTGGGTAAACAAATGGAGTAGGCTAGACTCTTCCTCCCCTTCCCATCATTTCCTTTCTTTAACCTCCTTCTTGTATTCTTAAGTATCACTTTCATGAGATCAGTAGAGGAAGTGGATTTGTATGGATAAGAAAGTGTGAACATGTGAAAAGCTCAAGATGGCTTTTCCTTTTCCTACTGACAATCTGCTGATTTTGCTGCCAAAGCTGGTTCTTTGGCAGTGCTGCTCCCTGGATTTAAATGGGAGCATTTAGAAATGAATGACCCAAGACCGCTTTCAGATGGCCATGGACTCAACCTAGGAAAACAAGTCTTGAAAATTCTGTCTGGGAGCTGTCGGAAAGTCACCATCATCCAAATTTGTTTTCTTAAGAATGCCTGGTTTTTCACTTTTTGAAGCTTGTTTCACTTTGCTTTTTATCTTTAAAAGCTGACCGGTTGAATGCTGATTTATTTTAATCCCTTACTGGACTTTATTGGTTCTTTTCTTGTTCCCTTTGATTTATGTTGCTGTTCTGAATAACTTTTGCTTTTTGTAAGGAAAAAGTAATTTTCATTTCATTTATATCTATGTCGGTCTCTCACTACAGGATTTTTACATTTCACTAATTTTCAAAATGGAGTTTTTAAAAAAAAATTAGATGGAGATTCCTGTTATTTTATTTATCATTGCCAAGTTACAGAGAGCCACAATGTATCAGATTACAGACAAGCAAATATGGCTGACATTTGAAAAAAGACTGGTAATATGAATTCTGTATTTGAAAACTTTTTAAAGAAGTTTGATGAAATGATGATTGTGGAAAATATTCAGATGCATCTAGCTGTAATAAATTAGACTCACAAAAGGAATACGATCTGAAAGAAGATTTGCTGGAAAGAAATATGGACTCTACAGACTTAGAGCTTACAGACTCAGAACTGAGTTGATTGCACATGCCATCCTGAAGTTCAATCCTATATTCTTGTACATCAGCTGAAACGTGACTAAGTGGAGAAGTGATAAATTGGTTTTCCCTAGGAAGATTGAAGGAGACTGGGGAATAGATTTATCACATTAAAATGTAAAACAATTGCATTTGGACTTTTTTTTGGAAGACTGATTGACTTTGCAGATTGGACATTACGTTTAACCAGACAGCAACTGATACGAGATGGTATTAAGAAATAAATCCAGGACAAATCACTGTTATATTTTGGGACATTGGGGATAGATAAGATGTAATAAATTTTCTATGAGTTGATTACAATAAGTTTGCTTTGTTACTGTTTTTCTTGTTAACTATTTGGTCATTAACATAGTACAAAGATGACAGGCTAATAACTTGCAAATAGATTTAGTAGTTTTAAAAAAGTTTGGGGCCTGTTTTGCTAGGGGTGAAAAACTAATATTGTTGTAATATATTAATCAGCATTCAACTAGGGGGATAATATTTGTGTATGTTTTAGTTTTTTAAAATGCACTTTAATGTCTTGTTTTGTGTTTTTTTCTTTTTCTTTGCTTGGCTTTTTGAAGGAAAAAACATTTGAAATTTTGTATTTTAACTTTCTTTGAATGAAATAAAAATAGAATAAAAAGAGTGAGCATGTATTACGCATCTATGTATGCTTATGCATATATGCATAATTATGCATATATGCATAATTATGCATATATGCATAATTAGGCATACATATGTAAATGAATAGTACTAACTTTATGATCATGGTATTTTACATGTCGTGAGGGCCTAATATCACATTGTATAGTCACATTATCCATGTGCCTTTGTAAACATAAAATATTGGGAAACTCTCAGCCAGGTGAAGAGGGGTCAAGTGGGGAGCTAGCCTTGAGTCCTTATACAGCCAGAAAAGCCATTAGCCTAACTGTATCCCAAGTTCATGGGACCTTATCTGTTTATTCCCAAGCAGAATGGGGAGATTTTTGTAATATGGGTAGAATGCAATAAAGAAGCTGATTTGAACCTTTCACAAATGGATTTGATTGCTTGTGCTCGACAATAGGTGTTAGATATGTTATTCTGAGTTGACCACAATCATTTATAAATCTCATGAAAATATATTATAAGTCTATATTTAAATAAAATTTTTGCCCGCCAAACATAATGTAAAAATCAAAACTTGATAGTTCTTTTAGATTTTTCTCTATTGAACTCTATAACCACAATGAGTTTAGGAAAGCAGTGATTCTCAGAAGCAAGAGCCATGCTTAATGACACATACTTGGGTTTAGAAACTGTTATTAATGAAGAACAGTTGGTTTTATTTCTAGGAGGAATTTAAAATTTAAGATCACAATATGCATCATCGAATGGCAAGATATATTTGATCCCTGCCATATATATGAGCATCAGAGGAAGAGTAAGAATTAGAAGTAAGGTATGTTTATTTATCATGTTATCAAGTGTGCTGTAACATAAAATGATGCAAAATTAGAAACTTCTGAGAAATCCAAAGGACTCAATCCCACACCTCCATTAAGAGTCACATTAGCACATAGAAAACTGGCAACCATCTCCCATCAGAAATGAAGACAACAGGTTGTAGAAGAGTCATCCATGACATTTCATCATTTAATTGGGATCCCCTTCCCAATGTGGTGGAAAGTTAGTCACTTTCAAATTTGATGGAGTTTATCTGTGTAGAGATAGTGCCACCGCAATAACTTCCCCTTTTCTTCTTTGTCTTCTCATGTCGGAAGGATTTACCTTTTGTAAACTTTAGAACATCATTTGCTTTTCTACCCCAGTCATCTATAGCTCCTTTCTGGAAAAGATGAGACAATTGATGATCATTAGCCACAAAACATTAAGCATAAATGGTTTTTTATCACTTTGCATTTGTAAACTGTCTAGAGTGTATGAGTATAGGCAGGCATGATATTCCCTTCAGAAAAAAAAATCGGGGCCGGCCAAAAGAGACCCCCCACCGCGCGCCAAGAAATCGCCCGCCCGCCCGCCGCGCGCTCCCGCCGCTCGCCCGCCCCTGCCGTGCGCCCCCGCCCCGACCGCCGCGCGCCCCGACCACCGCGCCCGCCCGGCCACCCACCCCT